TTCAGGTCTGGAATTGAACCCACACCTGTGGTTTCCAGCCAAACAGAAGACAGGTATATGAGCTGAACATTTACCTGGGGTAGATACACTCCTTGGAGAGAACAATCATTGAGAACGAAGGGCTGCCTATGCACAGGGAGACAGCTCAGGGGACAGGAGTCCATGGAGGGATGGACACTGGGAAGAGGTATGTGGAGGAAGTGGGAGGGGAGTTGTTGCATTGTGGTAAACTATGGTCAATGTCATGAGACAAAGTATATGTAAAGTGCTGTATGGGAAGTAAATTTGCTCTGTAAATCTTCACCCAAATCACAATAAAAAAAAATTTAAATGAATGAAAAAAACAAACAACAAACAAAGCTAATTGTATTGTATATCCAATTAATTACACAACCACACAGAATGAAAGTAACTTTTGAATACAGTGTTGTGATTAAACACCCTTAATGGAATATAGTCTAATAGGCAAACAAATAAAAAGCTACAAAAAACTTAGGTTTGTATTAGTAGTGTCTTTGTGTTATATTGGTATTATTTTGTGGTGTGTATCGCATACAGCAAGATAGAACAAATAAATAAATATACAGATGCTTCTGAGAACCAGAGTTTTTAATGAGAGAGAAAAGAGGTAGAAATATGGAAGAAAAGGAGATGGGCAAGAATCTGTTAGGCTGGATTTGAACTGGCAGTATTGATATGAACCCATGATTTAAAACAATGTATTTCCTAGCTCTATCCACTGAAAGAATCTAGAAGCAATGACACCACAGTGATAATGAGCACTGCTAGCACCTAAATCTTGGTTTCTCCATTAAAAAGAACCAGGGCTCCCTGGACAAATGGCTGATGCCAGTATCTGGGATAGAAAATATATGAGTCTGTTGTTGTTGCTGTTGTGTGCCGTCGAGTTGGACCCGACTCAGAGCGACCCTTCCTTGGGTTTTCGAGGCAGTATTCCTATAGAAGTAGATTGCCCAACCTTCCTTCCGAAGAGAGGCTGGTGGGTTTGAACCACAAGCCCTCTGGTTAGCAATCAAGTGCCTTAGGCACTACACTACCAGAGCCCCTATGTGAGTCTAGTATCTAGGATATATTAAGGCTGGGGCCTGCGGTAGGCAGGCCCAGGGCTTGGAGGCTGCTATTCACTTGGTGTGGTTCTATATTAAGGCTGGGCCTAAGGTAGATGGGCCCAGGTCTGCAGGTTGCTTTTCACTTGGGGGTGATGTTTATTACGTCCAGGGCCTGAGGTAGGCAGGTGCAAGTTTGGGGGCAAATGGAAGAAATGACAAGATAAAAGACTTAAAAGAAGATTTCAAAGAGCAGCTTGAACAGACAAAGCCAATTACTATAATGAAATGTGCAATGACCTGGAGTTAGAAAACCAAAAGGTAAGAACACACTCAGCATTTCTCAAGCTGAAAGAAATGAAAAAATTTAAGCCTCAAGTTGCAATACTGAAAGACTACATGGGCAAAATATTGAATGATGCAGGAAGAATCAAAAGAAGATGGCAGAAATACACAAGAGTCTCCGTACCAGGAAGAACGGGGTCAATGTTCATACATTTCAGGAGTGGCATATGATCAAGAACCAATGGTATTGAAGGAAGAAGTCAAGCTGCCCTGAAGGAACTGGCAAAAAACAAGGCTCCAGGTATTGAAGGAATAGCCATTGAGATGTTTCAACAAATGGATGCCCCACTGGAGGTATTCACTCAGTTATACCAAGAGAGTTGAAAGACAGCTACCTGGCCAACTGACTGGAAGAGATCCCTATTTGTACCCATTCCAAAGAAAGGTGATCCCACAGAATATGGAAATTATCAAACAATATCATATGCAAATAAAATCTTACAGAAGATAATTCAAAAACAATTGCAGCAATATATTGACAGAGACCTTCCAGAAATGCAAGCTCAGAAGAGGATGTGGAACAAGGGATATCACTACTGATGTCAGATGGATCTTAGCTGAAAGCAAATAATACCAGAAAGAATTTACTATGTTTTATTGACTA